ATGACTGGCCCTGGGCTACCTGTTAGAAGCCACAAAGGGATTTACGGGTAGTAGCTGCCTCTGCTGGGCACCAGTGTGTGTGGGAGGGGCCCAGCTCTGAACCGTGGCCAGCTGCCACCAGTACTGAGTCTGGAGCAAGTCAGCAAAAGCCCAAGGTAGTGCCAAGATCTGCCGCCACCAGAGCAGACCCTATTCCTTCCTTCGGTTAAACCAGAGCTGTTCTCAAAACACACCTACTGTCACCCATATACAAAAAGTTATGCAGGTATTTCATTAGCAAAGATTTTTTCTTTTTGAAAAAAAGCATTGGAGTCTTGTAATTGCAGTTATGGCAGGCCACATGGGAGTCCTGAGAGCAAACAGAAAGAAATTCCTTTTCAGGTGGGAAAAGGAAGTGTATGGGAGGGGCTGTTATAACCACAGAGCGATGTTTTAAACATGAGTTCTTCCTATAGGGCTTTCTGATGACATGGTGTCCGAGAGCTCCTCTCACAGGCCCTCCTTGATTCCTGTCTTGGTTAAAGTCTCTGTCATAAATTTTGACAGTATTAAAATCTTCTTGCTTGATTTAAAATTCAAGTAATTACATCATATCCTGTGACTTAGTCGACACTTATTCACTGTTTCAAAGACTACACATGTTGTCTCATTTACTATGAAGTTGATATAATTATCATCTCCATTTTTCAGTGAAAAAAACCTGTGACAATCAGAGGCTGAGCAACTTTCCAAAATCACACTGAGTGTGGTAGAGCGGAGGAGTCCAGCAAAAACTTGACTCCAAAGCTGAACTCTAACCAAGCCCATATATCTCTCTGGTTTCCAGCTGGTATACAGACAGGCCTGGAGGGTAGAGGAAGAAATATTGGCTCTCCTCTCAGAACCTTAGAGGCCAGGGTGTCTGAGCACCTAGCAGCTACAGGTGCACTGTGTGCTGCAACAGACTGCCTGTGACACAGCCTTCAGTCCCCACTCCACTGCACTTACTTGGACTTGAGAAGCTGCAACCATCAAGGTATAGTGTTGAGGCAGGACAGAAAGAAGTTAGGGGACACCGGACAAGTGGAATGAGGAAGTACTAGCATCACAGGCCAGTAGGCTGCTACGTCCTCTCACCAAAACCCACACCTCTGTGCCTAATCAAAGGGAAACAGTTCATGGCAGGAAACCCCTGCGGTGGTGGCAGAAGTCAACAACAACAGGAACTAGCCAAAGTCAGATCATTCCAAGATGGAGGCATAATTGACCAAAATGTACCAAAGCTCCTTATACCACCATTATAATGAAAACTGACAGCCCAAGTAGAAGGGGGTTTAGGGGGATGAATGCATAACATTTCTGGAAGGGACCATATTAGGGACAAGACCCCTCCCAACCAAAAGGCAGAGACTGGTATTGATGCCACAATGTTTGAGAACCTGAAACACTAAAATCCCAGGAACTGATGTTCTGGGCGCACAGCTCACTTGCCAGTTGGACCATGTTCACTTGAACATATAATGATTCTTTCACAGTGGGGCCCTGTGACACTTGCAACCGGGGGTTGGCGGGGCAGTGGGTGGTTTCAGCCAGTCCCAGGCTAAAGCTCTGATCCTGTCTCCAGGACCCCACGTCCTAGCCTCTTTTTTTTTTTTTTTTTTTTTTTTTATCCTCACTCGAGGACATTTTTCCATTTTTTGTACAGATAGAGTGGGAGGGAGAGAGAGGAAGGGAGAGAGAGAGAGAAACATCGACGTGAAGGGACACATCGAGTGGCTGCCACCCGCACGACCAACCAGGGCCGGGGACAAACTGCAACCGAGGTACATGCCCTTAGCGGGAACCGAACCCGGGTCTCTCCGGACCGCAGGCGGACGCTCTAACCGCTGAGCCAAACCGGCCAGGGCCTAGCCTCTTTCTTTTTCTGTACCTGAATAAAGCTTGCTTTCATTCTCACTTCAACACATTCTTGAATTCTTTCTTGTGTACGTCAAGAGCCTGGAGGTCACCTGACACACAAAGGTCCCAGACCGTGATGGGGCAGGGCCAGCTCCCAGCATGGAACCAGTCCAGTAACAGTGTGGAGGGGAAGTGTCTGACTGATACTGCAGCCAAGTACAGCCATATGGCTGTTAGAAAGCTTCCAGAAATTCCCCAGCAGAGCTCATTCGTTCAACATACATTTTTAAACAGAAGTGTGCACAGAAGACAGGTGATGTCTCCACTCTTACAGGGCTTACATTGGGGGAGGAGTGGAAAATAAACACACAAAGAAATGAACAAGAGTTTTTCAAGAAAATGATGACAGATGCAGAAAGTGAGTGATGCATTATGGGGAACTGATTTAGAGGAGGGTGGAAGAAGACCTTTCCGAGATGCCAGTTGAGCAGAGAGAATGTTACTGGACAGCAACCAGGCCTGGAGCTAGTCTGCCTGCTGCCAGCCGGTAGTGTGTGGGTTCTTGACTTCATGCAGGAAGGACTTCACAATTTGAGTCTAGGTGATTTTGAGAGGATATTTATTAAAGCTGGGGACAGTGAAACAAGGAAGGGCCAGGGTAGAAGAAACAACAGGAGAGAGCCTAGCGGGGAACTAAGCCTAGGTGGGGCTGCTTTGACTCACTGAGAAAAGTCACAGTGACAGAAGTGAGTCAAGGCAGAGCTGCTGTGGGTTCCCAGAGAAGTCAGAGAAAAGGGGGCCTTGGAGACAGGTTCAGGGGGTGATCCCAGGACCAGCTGCCGCTGCCCATTGCTTCCCTGGTTGCAAGTCTCATGGGGACCCTTTGAGTTTAGGAGATGCTTGCCTGAGAGGGAACAGTGTGGGCATGCTCCCAGGAGGGAGAGCATGCTGGGTCCTTTGTTTTTTAAAGGCTGTGAGTTTAGGGGAGGACCTCAATAGAATAGTCATTATCTTTATGTTGATGAACTAAAATAAGGTTTATTCCCCTGACTTTAATTGTCCTGGGGTTCACATGATTGGCAAATGGCACTAATTTATGTTCTGTCTCCCTGAGTAGGGTGATTTCAGCTGTTTACCCTTTGGATGGGGAGAAGTACAAACAAACCAGTTACTCCTAAGTGTCCTTGGTTAGGAAAGAGGATTTTCGTATTTACTAGGTGGCTGTAACCGTTTGGCCATTTCACTATCTGCCCCAGTTCCCTATTTCACTTGTCCTGGCTTACTAGCCTGTCTCAATGTGAATGACAAGAAGGGGCAGCCATGCAAGGGGCTAGGGCAGAGTTCCAAGACCAGAGGGATTGAAGAGCAGGGATTCAGGACAGGTGGCAAGACAGAGGTCAGTGGAATACAGTAAGCAAGGTGTTCATGTAAGCCCCTCAGGCCCTGCATAGGCCTTGTCCTCTCTCTAAAGTGGGCTGGGAAGAGAATTTTAAGCAGGGGAAAGGGGCCCCTACTGCTGGAGGACACAGTGCATGGTCTGTGGGTGGGGCACCTACCTCCCCCGGACTGGGAGAAAACAGATTAGTAGCAGGACTCTGAGGGGGCTGGGATCAGTAGGAGGGTGCCAATGGGGGGAAAACGGAAAAACATCTATAATGAAAATAAATAAGTTAATCATTATAATAAAAAAAAACAGATTAGTTGCAGGAAATCTTGTTACTGTTAATCCTCACCCCAGGATAGTTTTCCATTGATTTTTAGATAGAGTGGAAGAGAGGGAGAGACAAACGTCCATGTGAGAGAGACATCAATTGGTTGCCTCCTGCAGGACCCCCACCGGCTGGGGGCCGGCAGGGGTGTGGGGTGGGGGTGGGGGTGGGGAGTCCAACCGCAACCCAGGTACCTGCCCTTGATCCGAATTTCGAACCCGCTATGCTTCGGTCCACTGGCCGGCCAACCCTCTAAACTGCTGAGCCAAACCTGTCAGGGCAGCAGCGGAAATCTTTTAAGGAGCATTTTAAATACACATTTTCCCACAACACCAGCTAAAAGTACAGGTAGCTGGAGAGTCTAGAGTCTACTGAGACCACATCCAGAGCCCATACAGCAGTCTTGTGGGACAGGATTAGGTCCAAATTCCTCCCACCCAGGGAATCAAATCCCTCCGGTCCAAAGAACTGGGGCTATGAGTTACACCACTGGACAGAGAGGAGACAGGGTGTAAAACATGCGCGTGGGTTTCTTCCGAACCCCCGACCCCTCTACCACCACGCAATCAGTACCACTGACTAGTCACTTAAATTTCCTCCACCCCTGTGAGGGAGGGGTGGAGGCCGGGCAGGGTTTAGGGTTTAGGACCCTGAGTTCACCCCGTCATGAATACCCCCAACACCTGTAATCTATCTTGCCCCTGCTGAGGTGGGCGACCTGTGCCTCCACGTGGGTCTCCCGTCCGCCCTTCCTGCCAGGGAGCTACGGCCGGAGAACTGCCCGCTCCGCTCCGCTCCGCGCAGGGCTGACCCGGACAGCCCGGCTGGCCCGGGGACTGGGGTTCTGACGCCACGGTGCCTGGGACACGCGCTGGCGAGGCGGATGGTCTGCTGCCCGCGGGGCTGCCGGCAGAGCAGGAAGCGAGCGGCGGGCTTGGCGTGGGCAGCTTCCGGGCCAGGGGCGAGGGAGCGCCGGGGCCTCCGGAAACCTTCCGGGACCCTGGACCCGGAGTGCCGGCCCAGTGCTGAGGGGGCCGCCGGTCCGCGGAGCCAGGCCCGGCCCTAAGCTGCGGGAACCTGTGTCCCGTCTGTCGAGGGGGCCTTAATGCGCACCTGCTGGAGGGTGTCTGTGTAGCACCCCGGGGGCGCCGTGGGCGCTTCAGAAACGATGGTTAACTTGCGAAGAGTCCGCTGCGAAGGCTGCCTGCTCCGCTCCTGCCGGCTCCGCTCCCGCCGGCTCCGCTCCTGCCGGCTCCAGGAAGCAAGCAGGCCGCGGGCTGGAGCCCTGCCCGCGGACACCGCGCGAGCCTGCGGCCAGGGCGCCGGACCCCTCAGCGCGGGCGGGAACCGGCGGGGCGGGGACTCCGCCGCCCGGCGCCCCACGCAGGTCTCCGCGCTCAGAGCCGGCCTCCTCCGCCGGGACGCGGGCCAAGCCTGCTTTCAGTTTCCTTTCTGGGCCTGCGCCCGGGAGTCGCCGGGACCGTGACGTGGGGGAGCCTCCGGTTCCCATTGGGAGGCGGAGTTCGGCAGGGACCAATTCGGGCGCTGGTCCGGGAGAAATCTCGGTGCAGGGATCGCAAGAGCGGAGATTACCGCGGGACGCGCTGTGGGGCGCGGTGCGCGGCGGATCGCAACCCGGAACTGGCCCGGCGGGGGACGAGCGACGCCAGCCCCGCACTCCTGCCCGAGCTCCGCGCCGGCAAGTCGGTAAGTCGGGGCGTCCGGTGAGACATGAAGCAAAGCAGCCGCCACTCGCGCGCCCTGGTGCGGCGGGCGGGCGGCGCGGGGCGGGCGGGGTCCGCGTCCCTCCCGGCCCAACCCGCCCGCGAGCGGGGGAGCGTTCGCCCCTGCCTGCGGGTCTGCCTCTTCCTCGCCGACCCAGTCTCCCCGCCGGAGGGAAGCGGCTCGATGGAGGTCTGGTGCTTGGAGCCAAGCAGTCCGCCAGTTCCTCATTATGACCAAAGTCATGTTTTCTTTCATTTCCTTTATTTATTTATTTTTGGTCCGAATAAACCAGTTTAATCACGTGCACTTGGAGCTACGTGTCCCCTCTCTTCTTCAGCCCATGAGCACATTAGTCTCCCCCCCGCCGATTTTCTTCCTGATTTTGACCTTAGGAAGAGTGTGGACCTGTATCTGCGGAGCAGATGGCGGGCAAACACTTCCACATTTCCGGTGCGGTCCGGTTTTGACCCCGCAACTATTTGAGAAGGAAGTCCTTCATGCATGCAACGAGTATTAGTGTCTGGGACCACTGAGGCTCCTGTTCACTATTAGCAAAAAGCATAATCCCTAGATTTTGGTTTAAAAGCATCAGCCTTAAAAAAAATAGACTATGTTTTAGAACAGTTTTAGATTTACAGAAAAATTGTGAAGAGAGTGCAGAGTTCCCATACACCCGAAAACTTTCTCCCTTTCATTAATATCTTACATTGGTGTCGCACATTTGTTACAATTGATGAGCCAATATTGGTGCATTATTACTGACCAGCACAATCTTCAGGTTTCCTTAGTTTTTACCTAAGTACTTCTGTTCCAGGATCCCATCCAGGACACCACATCACATTTAGGTCCCACATCTCCGCATGCTCCCCTAGGCTGTGGCAGTTTCCCAGACTTTCCTTGTGTTTGATGATCTTACAGTTTTGAGGACTAGTCACATGTATTGCAGGATGCTCCTCTACTGGAATTTTTATGTTGTTTTTCTCCTGAGACTGGGTTTATGGGTTACTGGGGGAAGACCTCATAGATAGGTGCCCTTTTTGTCACATCCTCTCAGGTTACATATGTCAGCATTGTTTGGAATTCTTTTGCATGGGGAATTTCTTTCTCTCTTCTGCCTTACTTATTAACTTATTCAAGGAAGGGCCTCATAGATAAGGGGCATATCTGATTCAGGCCTTCAATATGAGCTAGGACTGAGAAAAGATCATGTGCACCAGCAAGGGGTGGGGAATGGGGAGTGGGGGCCTGAAGAAGGGTCTGTGCCCCTGGTTCACTGTATTTAGCAAGTGGGTGAGGCAGGATTGCAGGCTGGACAGGTAAGTGAGGGCCAGATTATCCGGGGCCTGTGTGCCCTGCTGTGAAGTTGTGACCTCAGGAGTTTTGAAGCAGGAGAGTAATAAATAGGTTGAGACCTGTGTGTTAGGTGACCCTGCAGCACTTGGTAGGAGATATGTCACATTTCACCAAATCTAAGATAAAACCAATGGTTCTGCAGAGAAAAAATTATTTTGCCAGTCAAATTATGACATGCCATTGATCACATTGATTTCAGAGATACTAAATGTAATGACTTGGATATTAAATTTAATGAAAAATAGTAACTCCCTAGCAGATAGCTTAGATTTTCCTTCCTCCAGGGAACGAATGGTTAGCAGTGCTCCATCTCACTAACCCAAGGATGTTGAGTTCACTGACTCCATTTATGATCTTGAAGAAACTAAATTTGACAAACTGGCATTTTCTTGCCTCATAGCCAATTGTCAGACACCAGCACAATGAAACTGCACACCTGACCAAAAGGTCCCAGCTGTGTTTATTGTGCTCTGGTTGCTCATAATAATAGTAGCAACTTCATGCCACACATTAAATATGCTGGTGTACTTGCCAAACCTTTAGTTCAGTTTGACCTGTTGTAATGGAAAAACTCAGCCCAACACTTATATTTACCAGTTTATTAAAGCGGATGATAAGGATTCAGGTGAATAGCCAGCTGAAGGGATATATAGGGCAAGGTCTGGGAGGGTCCCAAGTTCAGGTGCTTCTGTCCCTGTGGAGTTGGAGTGTATCACCTTCCCTGTGTGGATGTGTTCACCCACTTAGAGGCTCCCTGAACCCTGTACCATTGGAGAATTATGAACGCTTCCTCACACAGGCATGATCAATTATAACTCCATCTCTAGCCCCTTTCTCCTCTTTCAAATATGGGAGATGGGGCTGAAAATTCCATGGCTTCTATTCATGGCTTGGTCTTTTGGGTGAGCAGGCCCCATCCAGGAGCCAACCCAGAGTTGACTCAATAAAACAAAAACTGTTCCTAGTGCTCTTGCCGCCCGGGAAATGACAGGGGTTTCAGGAACCCTGTGTCAGGAGCGGGAGCAGAGACCAATATATGTTTTTCAATTATCCCTTTCACTCCCATTTCTTCCTGTTGATATTGTGACCCTGAAAGATCAGGAAATCCCACCCCAGGCTACACAGCAGAGCAGCTGAGGCTAGGTGGAAATCTGGATCCAGTCCTAACCAGGAGCTCTTTGCTTCAGGCTTCGGTTGGAATGAGAGCTGGGGTGGAAGCAGATTCTGCCTGTGCTTCCGCACTCGGAATGTGTGGGTGCTGTCGGGAGGCCCTGGTGCTGAGAGCAGGTTGGGAGCTGTCATAGCCTGGCAGGCGCTGGTCTTCAAGTGGGGGCCAGAGACGGAACTGCCAGTTGGTATTTACCTTTGTTAGGAGACCTTTGACTAGATAAATAGGCTTATCTCTCTGCACAAGCTCTTTCTGTATTTCAGCCTAGTAACCTCTAGTAACTTTTTCTGCATATCAGTCAGGACTAGATTCTTTTTTTTTTTCTTTTTCTGCAGATGACAGACAAGCCAAACTGGCTGGGCGAAAGGGGCATTTGTTGGTTCATGTGATGGGAAAGTTCAAGGTTAGGGTAGCTCCAGGGAATCACACGATGATCCTCATTTCTTTTACTTCACCTCTGGGTGTTCTTCATTCTCCAACAGGCTAATTCTCTGGTTAGCAAAACTGCTGTAGCAACTTCTAACCATATGACATCAGCTCTTGCAGGTTCTTGAGAAATCGCAAGAATCGTTTTCCTGGTTTCTCAACTAGGTCTTCTTGTGGCTGGCTGTAATGAGTCATGTTCTCATTCCCAAAGCAAGCACTGTGGCCAGGGGGCTTAAGGCTAATTCTCTTGCTCCAGTCCTGAGCTGAGGGAGATTTTTGCCTGCAGCACATGATCCCCAGAAAGGGATTGGAAGAATGGAAACTGGCTGGACCCCTCTCCCCAAAAGACAGACACTCACAGCACTTACTGGTTGGATCAAGCTGCACCTGATGTAGGATTTTGTTGCCTCTTATTGGGTCTCTCTTGTGTGGTTTCTTTATCCTTTTTTTTTTTTTAGTGTCTCACACACACACACACACACACACACACAGACACACACACACAGTGAGATTCTATTTCTCATCCACTAGATTGGCAGAAACTGAAAAGCTGACAGTACCGGGTGTGGGTGCGGCTGTGGCACACAGTGAGTGCTCCTTGCCAGAGAGGGAGCTGCTGGTGGGAGTGTGCACTGATACAGTTCAGAGACAGTTTGGCCTGAGCTAGTCAAGTTGAGGCTGCATCTACTTGCCTGTGTGTACTAGGACACGTGTGCCGGAAGGAACAGTGTTTGTAATTGTCCCAAACTGGAATCAACCCAGATGTCCATCAGAAGTAGACTATATCAGAAGTAGAATTCCATAGTCATAAGTCAAAGAAAATGGAACAAAATTAGCTCACAATCACATGGCTGAACCTCACAAACATGATATTGGTACCCCCCCCCCCCAAAACGCAATATGATTCCATTCTTCTGAAGCTCAAAGCCAGGAAAAACGAGCTCTTTGCACACCTAGATGTAAAACTAGAGAAGGAAGAGTGGGTAGGACCCCTGTCGAATAGACCACAGCAGCCATTCCCTCCTTTTCTGGTTCCTGGAGCAAACCTGGGCTCCATGACAGGTGGTGATTGCTCTTGTTTGCTGTGGGGAGTATGAAGACATCGCTTGTCCAGTAACATCACTTTGCCAGAGAGAAAGGGGTTTGCAGGAAGCCTTCTGTCGGCCTCGAACGCTCTGCCGGTTTCCTCTGCGCAGGCGCTGTGCTGGTGTCTACTAAGACAGACAAGCCTCTGGTTTGGGAAAAGCTGGTATTAAATAAGTGGGGACTTGCCCTCTCCGGTTTGGCTCAGCGGTTAGGGCGTCAGCCCACGGACCAAAGAGTGGCGGGTTCGATTCCCGTCCAGGGCACGTACCTAGGTTGTGGTTTGACCCGGCCCTGGTCGGGTCGTGAGGGAGGAAACCAGTCGATGTGTCCCTCTCACTCATGTTCCTCTCCCTCTTCCCCTTCTCTCCCACCCATTCTATCTGAAGATATTTAAATATCCTCAGGTGAGGATTAAAGAAAAGAAAAATAAGTCAGGACGAAAATAAGTCAGGACTTGACTGCAGAGAAGTACCACATCAGTGCTGGGGATTTTGGGCTTTGTCTGGGAGAGAGCCTGTGGACTCACTTTGCAGGTCAAGGACAGTTTGCCAGAGGAGGTGGCTCTCAGCTGAGACTCCACGCTGCGGGGAAAGGAGTTTGCTAAGCAGGAAAGGGGCGGAGCTCTGTGCAGAGGGGAAAGCACTTGTGAAGGGCTCCGGACAGGGGTTTGCTGTGGCTGTGGGGTGGAGTTGGAGGTGGGAGGTGGCAGGAAATGAACCTGGAGACCAGGGCTGGGCCCGCAGGGCTGGGGTGGGGAGTGCAGCTGTGGACATTCCTGGCAATGCCTCCCTCAGCTTGTTTGCAGCTCATGTAGTTCTCACAGTCACAAATTATGCATGGCACCCATGTCCTGAAGCGTGCTGTAGGAAATTACATAGTGTCTCCAGCTGTTCTGTGGACAGATGCCAAGGAGGTGTTTATGAGATTCAGTGAGTTCTGGGAAGGGGTGGGATGCAGGGAGAGGGGAACTCAGAAAGAGGGGGTGTATCTCCAATTCTGCCTGGTTCTGTTGAGTCACAGCCAGCTTGGTGTATTGGAGGGACAGAAGCCAAGTGCCCTGGAGCCAGGGGCTTCAGAACTCTTGTTTGGGTAAAGGGAGTGGGGTGGACCATGTCCTCCCTGAGGTTTTTCCCAGCTCTGGCTTTCTGCATTTTGTTTGCCAAGAACCAGGAATGGAGAGGAGAATAATAGTTTTACCCCTTATTGTGGAAACTCATTGAGATAATAAAAATATGCTGAAGGCATAAATGATAGGCAGAACCATTGGGGAGTATGGTAGTTAGGGGATGTTTTGGAGAGGGTCCGTTTTGCATTGGATTGGGATGAGCAGCTATTGAAGTCTGCCCTGTGTCCTGTACTCTCATCTTGTTTTCTGTCATTTGAGATAAGGTGCTCGAGGTCACTGTCAGCGGTAACACATACCCCTTTCCTATTGTCAGCACTCTGCAGCCTAGAAAGCCCTTCCGTGTAGTTGACCTCATCGAGCTTCTTGACCAAGAAGCTGCTGTTAGAGTCCTCTCACTGTTTGCCTGGGTAGGAAATAGTCCTGGAGTGGCCCTCGGCAAGTTGCTTTACCCTGCTGATCCTCAGCTTCTTTGGAAGAGAATCCTGACCACTGAATAACGTAAGGAAGGTCCTAAATAAATGCTGTCTCCAAGTTGTTAGTCACCTGGCTGTTGGGTTGCAGAGCCCAAACCTGAACCAGGATTGTCCACCTACAGGTTGCCACCTAGGTCTGCCATGTACCCGCGATGCACTGAGCTCTCTTTCAGTGAACATTGTAACGTGTTCAAGGGGGAGTCTGTGTAGCCCAGTGATGGACTTGAGCGTAGAAACAGCAATGCTTCGCTTGTCTGCTTTGTCTGGTTCTCGCAGACTCGCAGATGACGGCTGGCCGAGTACAGGTAGCTGTGTCCCCAGCTCCTCGGAACCCAGTCCCTGTGGCAGCACATGAGCCATGGTCTCTCTGTGATGGTTTTTACTGTCTTTGTTATCACAAGACCTTGGTAGAAAACACTAGAGCCCCGCTCCTCAGAACATTTTTCTAACGCCTGTTGTTGTTGAACTATTTACAAGTGAGTTGTAGTCAGGCAGCCCTAACCCGCAGCACACATCACCTGAAAATATGGACGTTCTCACAGTCTCAATGCCATTTTAAAAATTAACAATCATTTCACAATATGATTCAATACCTAGTCCTTTGTCAAATTTCCTTACTTGCCCCCAAACCATCTTTATAGCTTTAAACAAACAAACAAACACCAGAAGCCATCAAGGTATTTGCATTTGGTTGTTATTTTTCTTTAGTCTTTCTAAATCAATAAAAATTCTTTTTTATTTTTATTAAAATTTTTTTTTCTTTATTGATTTTTAGAGAGAAAGGGAAAGAGAGAGAGAGAGAGAAACGTTGATGAGCGGGAACATCAATTGGCCGCCTCCTGCATGCACCCCACTGGGGATTGGGCCCACAACCTGGACATGTGCCCTGACCAGGAATTGAACCGGTGACTTCTTGGTACATGGGTCCATGCTCAACCACTGAGCCACACCTGCAGGACCTTTTTTATTTTTTATGACATTGACTTTTTAAAAGTCCAGGCCAGGCCCTGGCTGGTGTGGCTCAGTTGGTTGAGTCTTGTCAGGTGCACTGAGAGGTCACAGGTTCAGTTCCCCTTCACGGCACATGCCTGGGTTTCTGCTCAGTTCCCAGTAGGAAGCAGACAATACATGTTTCTCATTCGTGTTTCTTTCTCCCTCTCCCTTCCTCCCTCTCTCTCTAAAATATCAATTAGGAATCTTTAATGTAAGTACACAAATAAAAGACCTGGAATGTCCTGTCTTCTAGCCTTGTCTGACTGTTTCCTCGTGGTGTGGTTCAGCTCACTCCTCTTTCCCTCATGTTTTCTGCAAACTGGAAGTTAGGTCTGAAGCTTGATTCGACTAGCAGGTCGAACATTTGTAGCAGGATTGCTTCAAGGTGATGTGTGAGTCCTGTGCCCCACGTGGGATGCTTGTGCCAGGTGGTCCTCTGTTGGAGATGCCGGCTCTGGTCATGGTTGAGGTGATCACAGAGTTGCCCCTTATTGAGGAGCATCAGGAAGTACTAACCCTTGGGAGGCACTTTGGCTCCATGGGACTGTCCTGTCCTCTAGCACCTTTCACCTCATAGTTTTAGCATTCAGTGAAGATCCTTGTCTCTGTTGTTCATCCTCACCTGAGGATATATTTTCCATTGATTCTTAGAGTGGAAGGGAGGGAGGGAGGGGGGAGAGAGAGAGAAATATCCATTGGTTGCCTTCTGCACATGCCCTGACTGGGGTGGGGATTGAACCTGCAACCTAGGTACCTGCCTTTGGCCGGGAATGGAACCCTCGACCCTTTGGTGTACAGCCAGCGTTCTAACCACTGAGTCATATCGGCTAGGCAAAGATCCTTGTCTTATAATGAGATTGCAAGATGGTGTTTTTCTAATCTGTTACCCCTCCTGCACTTATTCGCAGTGTCTTCTGTAACTCCTAGACGGTGTTACGTATTGATTACGTGTGTGCTTCAGAGCCAGCGGGCTCCTGGGCTGAGCACGCCTGCGCAAGGGGAGGGTGGGCGCTGCACCTGGGCTCTCCCCAGTCCTTCCGTCCTTCCAGGGACTGCAGCAAAGGAAACAGCCTCAGCTTTTCAACTTCTAAGCCCTGAACACAGTGACTGATGATGGACTCCAAGCCCAGGAGTCCCCTCTTCGCTGTTGCAGCTGAAACGCTGGGGCCAGCTGGTTCCCACAGGCAGACCAGGGAGCTGGCTCCAGCAAGTCCTAAGATTTTTACTAGCCTTAGTATCCTAAAACTTTTATTACCTCATTTGTCAGTTAAATGACTCAACCCTGCCTCCTTCATCTGAGCTTTGTGTGGACCTGTTCTCACGCATCTGGGCTGCGGTCTCACTGCCCCAGCCCCCTGCAGCCTGCAGCCTGCGTGCGCGGCACTCCCCTCTGCACAGCACTTCGAGGTGTCCCCTCAGACCCTCGCAAACTCCACGATGCATTTCTGCTTTGTGTTCCTTTGGGTCTTAGAACCTGGGGTCATTTCTAGCTCCTTCTTGTCACTAGGAGAAAGGGCACGAAGGCCATTGAGCCCTGCTGGATGGCTCTCACTGGACAGTCCTGATAGCTCTGGCTTCCTGTAGCTCCCTACAGCCTCGCAGTGGTCCTTGTGCCCTGCGGCGGCCCTCCCCGGGCGACTGCTCTGTCGTGGGCGAGTTCTCCCTCCCTCACTGCCACTGTGTGTGTCCACTCTGCATCTGGTGCTTTGAACACTCCTGGGTTTGGAATCACGGGTCCTGGTTCTCTCCTAGATCTCTTCCTGTGTACTGCACTTAGGCATAATCCTTTCCCTCAACCCACTTAGGAACCCTTGAAGGTAAGTATCATGCTCCCATTTTTATGGATGGATAAACTAGGGCTCACAGTACTTAAAAGAGTTCTGTATTGTTGCACAGAGTCAGGGGCAGGAGGCAGCTGTTGGGTCAGGAAGTGGGCCAGGATGACAGAGGTAAATGGACTGAAGTCCTCATGCTCAGCGTGTGTAGTCCGCCTGGGGCCAGGCCTTGCGGCACATCGCAGCACGGCCAGCTGGCAGTGCCGCACAGTTTCAGCGAGCTGGGCCGGGTCCCACCACCCTTGCCAGGGCAGAGCAGCCGGGCGAGTGCGGTGCGGCCGGTGTGTGCTCTGCTGGCAGGCCGGGGAGGGGCAGCTTCCAGGGGCGGAACCGAGCGTGCAGCGCAGCACAGCCAGGGAACCGTGTGAAGGGGGACGCCAGACTCCACTGCAGGTGCTTCTGGAGTCTTGGTGAAGGACCTCGATGCTCTGAGTCTTTGAAACCTGGAGGAGCAAACAGAAGGAGTCCCCTGGCTGTTGGGCCCTGACTAGGTGAGGGGCTCGCACGTGGCTAGCTGACAGCCCTGGACATGGCGGGCGTGGGAGACCGTGTGTTGGCTGTGAGTTTTCCAGCAGAGCTGTTGGTCCCTTGGTCTATCATAATTGTTATTCAGCTGATGGAAGGAAGGGGCCTTGAGGCAGGCCTGCTTTCTCCACCCCACAGCCTGGGCTCAGGCAGCTCTGCTTGCCACTCTGCTAAGCGGCCCACTCTGGCCTTGGTTTCCTCATCTGTGAAGTGAGGGTTGGACTAGAAGGTCAGTAGGTGCTCTCGTTCTGCTGTTATTGAGCCTCGTGAGAGCTGGTACGAGTCTGCTGGTTGCTGGGGCCGCCCCATGTGAGGCTGCCGGCTCTGCCCTCTGCTGTGTCTGCTCTTGACTCATGTCTGGTCTCCAAGGAGCAGAAGCCCCACCAGTGAGCTGAGGCCCCGCTGAGCTAAGGACTAAGTACACCATGGCCATGTCAGCACCATTGCGGAGCCTGGAGGAGGAGGTGACCTGCTCCATCTGCCTCGATTACCTGCGGGACCCTGTGACCATCGACTGTGGCCATGTCTTTTGCCGCAGCTGCACCACCGACGTCCACCCTGCCTCGGGGGGCCGCCCCGTCTGCCCCCTCTGCAAGAAGCCTTTTAAGAAGGAGAACATCCGCCCAGTGTGGCAGCTGGCCAGCCTGGTGGAGAACATTGAGCGGCTGAAAGTGCACAAGGGCAGGCAGCCGGGCGACGCAGCCCAGGAGCACTGCGACGGGAAGCTGTGCGAGCGGCACCGGGAGAAGCTGCACTATTACTGCGAGGATGACGGGCAGCTGCTGTGTGTGCTGTGCAGGGAGTCCCCGGGTCACAGGCCCCACAGGGCCGTTCTGCTGGAGAAGGCTGCCCAGCCCCACAGGGTGAGCCTCCTCACCCCGCACGGTGCCCAGCCCCACAGGGTGAGCCTCCTCACCCCGCATGGTGCCCAGCCCCACAGGGTGAGCCTCCTCACCCCGCACGGTGCCCAGCCCCACAGGGTGAGCCTCTTCACCCCGCACGGTGCCCAGCCCCCCGCACAGTGCCCAGCCCCACAGGGTGAGCCTCCTCACCCCGCACGGTGCCCAGCCCCACAGGGTGAGCCTCCTCACCCCGCATGGTGCCCAGCCCCACAGGGTGAGCCTCCTCACCCCGCACGGTGCCCAGCCCCCCGCACGGTGCCCAGCCCCACAGGGTGAGCCTCCTCACCCCGCACGGTGCCCAGCCCCCCGCACGGTGCCCAGCCCCCCGCACGGTGCCCAGCCCCACAGGGTGAGCCTCCTCACCCCGCACGGTGCCCAGCCCCACAGGGTGAGCCTCCTCACCCCACACGGTGCCGAGCCCCACAGGGTGAGCCTCCTCACCCCGCACGGTGCCCAGTCCCACAGGGTGAGCCTCCTCACCCCGCACGGTGCCCAGTCCCACAGGGTGAGCCTCCGCACCCCGCACGGTGCCCAGCCCCCCGCACAGTGCCCAGCCCCACAGGGTGAGCCTCCTCACCCCGCACGGTGCCCAGCCCCACAGGGTGAGCCTCCTCACCCCGCATGGTGCCCAGCCCCACAGGGTGAGCCTCCTCACCCCGCACGGTGCCCAGCCCCCCGCACGGTGCCCAGCCCCCCGCACGGTGCCCAGCCCCACAGGGTGAGCCTCCTCACCCCGCACGGTGCCCAGCCCCACAGGGTGAGCCTCCTCACCCCACACGGTGCCGAGCCCCACAGGGTGAGCCTCCTCACCCCGCACGGTGCCCAGTCCCACAGGGTGAGCCTCCTCACCCCGCACGGTGCCCAGCCCCACAGGGTGAGCCTCCTCACCCCGCATGGTGCCCAGCCCCACAGGGTGAGCCTCCTCACCCCGCACGGTGCCCAGCCCCCCGCACGGTGCCCAGCCCCACAGGGTGAGCCTCCTCACCCCGCACGGTGCCCAGCCCCCCGCACGGTGCCCAGCCCCCCGCACGGTGCCCAGCCCCACAGGGTGAGCCTCCTCACCCCGCACGGTGCCCAGCCCCACAGGGTGAGCCTCCTCACCCCACACGGTGCCGAGCCCCACAGGGTGAGCCTCCTCACCCCGCACGGTGCCCAGTCCCACAGGGTGAGCCTCCTCACCCCGCACGGTGCCCAGTCCCACAGGGTGAGCCTCCTCACCCCGCACGGTGCTCTGTGCTTGCCTGGAGGCCGGCCTGGCTGAGACCCTGCTGGAGGCTTCAGCCTGAGTCCACCCTGCTTCCCCAGACCAGAGTGTTCACCTGTCCCCACTGCTTGTCTCTCTACAGGAAAAAATCCTGAACCACCTGAGTACTCTAAGGAGAGACAGAGACAAAATTCAGGGCTGTCAGGCGAAGGGAGAAGCGGATATCCTGGACGTGCTAGTAAGTGAGGCTTTCGAGGGGGAGCCCTGGGGCAGTGGGCTGGTGCAGCAGGAACTCCTGGGCTTGTAGAGGTGCGGCCGGGGGCTGCTGCGAGGCCAGGCCTGAGCATGGCAGCCCAGCCTGCCAGTCTGAGCCCTGTGGCTTCGGCCCGTTGCCTGATCTGACGAGTGAGGGGGTTGCCTAGATGTCAGCTAAGGCTCCTCCTCTGTGACTCGCCTCAGCTGCAGGGCCACCTCTGGCAGCTCCGCTGCTCTGTGGGAGAGCCAGGGTGTGGGGAGCGGAAGAAGGCCTGGCTCTGCTCTTCCTTTCAGAGAGGAGGAGGAAGATGTGGTTCCTGTAGGAGTGGGGAGCCAGAGGGCTTGGAAGGAGGGCACCGGCTCCAGGATAAGAACTGAGAGGAGGGAGGGCTGCGGATGCTGTCTGGGCCCTGTGCCCACGGCTGCCTGTCGCTGGGAACAGGCAGCGACCTTGAATGCGTCAGTAGACACGGTATCAGGAGGAAAACTGAGAAGCAGGTTCCAGTTTTCTGTGGGAAGCGGGCATTGCAGGGATGTTGGGGCCAGGCCTGGCCATGAGCTATTTATTGGTGGGCCCTGGGAGAGGGAGAGTGGGAAGCAGGACAGAGCTCAAGTCAAGGAGTATGTACAGGCCCTTGGTGTGCATGGATGCAGCCCAGCATGTCAGTGCGCTAGGGACCGAGGACACTGACCAGATCTCAGCTGGACTTGGCAGTGAAATTTAGAGGCAGGAAACTCATGGTCCCTGAGCACAGAATTGAACAGTCTCACTGAGGTAACAGGATAGCCCTGTGAGGCAGGGATGGGCGCACAGGTATTTTATACATAAAAGGGGTGCTGAAGAGAGGACTGATTGGTCAGGCTTGGGTGGGAATGATCAAAGCAAGCTGCCTAGAAGAGGTGACATACAGAGATTGGTGTTCAGGAGGAGAATGTGTTGGCTCACAGAGTTCCTCAGAGGGCCCGGGAACATACTGGTTTGCCTGGAACAGCGAGCGGGCTGCCTAGCCAGCCAGAGCCAGGGTCCTCATCCCGAGCTGGCTGCGTGAACTGAGCTGGTTCACTGTCTTCTTCGAGGAGGGGAGGTTGGCCCAGGAATGCGCGAAAGCACCGCCCCCCAGCCTGAGCACTAGTTTGTGAGCAGGGAGAAGACCCAGCCTTGTGCACTAACACCAGACCCTGGAGGGATCCCCCAAGACAGCTCACCCCTCCCCTCCTGCCCTGCAGAAGCAGCTCCAGGAGCAGAGGCAGCTCATCGTGGCTGAGTTCGAGCAGGGCCACCAGTTCCTGAGGGAGCGGGAGCAGCGCCTGCTGGACCAGCTGGCGAGGCTGGAGCAGGAGCTGGCGGAGGGCAGGGAGAAGTACCAGGCCAGGGGCGCCGGGGAGCTTGCCCGGCTGGCGCTCGTCATCTCCGAGCTGGAGGACAAAGCACAGCAGCCCGCTGCAGAGCTCATGCAGGTGAGAGCTGTCGGGGCGGGCTGGGGGCGGGGCACTGGATGGTCGCCTCCGTGAAGCACCGGGCTGATAGCCCTGTTCCGCCCACAGTCGCCTGGGCGTCAGATGAAATGCCTGGCACGTGCACTTCAAAGAGTACATTTTCTACCCCAAAATGTTTAAAAATATTGAAATGGAAGGGAAGGGAATTAGTATTTTTGTCACTGTCTTTCATCCTCATCACTGCTGTCACGAGCCTGTCTCCTGACATCTGACACTGCCCACGGACGCTCTCTGCGGTCTGGAGGGGAAGCTGCAGAGGGTGGGGTCGCTAAGGGAGGCCACAGGGCAGCTTCTCTCAGGGACCCAGAGGGCCAGTGCGTGAGGTTTGATCTGGAATCACCCTCGGGAAAAGCAGGAAACAGGTGCGTTGTCTCTGGACGCTTGCAGATGGAGGTGACTGATGCCGAGAGAGGAAGGTCCTGGCCAGGTTGCAGGTTGAAATGGCATCACAAATCCAGACTCCCGGAGCCTCCCTGAGGAGTCAGCCATGCTGAACGGCCCAGCGGCTGGGTGTGCTCAGCCTCTGCTCTTGGCCAGGGCAAGGCCCACGTGCTGGTCTCCTCCGCGTGTGCGGTTTGGGGTGGTTGGGCCAGAAGCCGGGCAGGTGGACAGCTGGCAGAGATGGCCGGGTACATGCTCCAGGGCTCTGTGCCAGCTGCCTCACGACGGTGGCTTCAGCCTGCCTCTCCGGGTGGAGATGCAGGGATTTCAGGATTCCTCCAGGTAGCCCACTCTGATGAAGTCACTGAGGGCCAGAGCGTGGAGGGGTCTGTCCTGGACCGTTTAGCAGGTTAGAGTTCGTCAAAGCTCCAGCCCCGGGGTCCTCACTCCCAGGTTTCTACTCTTGTTTTCTCTCTCATTTATCCAGTGTGTGTCTCTGGCTCTGTCCTTCCCTCCAGATGTCACTCTGTTCCCTCAAATTTCTCTCTCAGACTCTGACTGCATCACCTGCTGCGTCTTCCTTCCCCCCTGTCTCCTTCCCTCTAGGGAAGAGTGTGCTTCCTTCTCTGTGGCCGCCACTAGGGGGCCTGCTTGCGCGGAGCAGAGGGGAGCACGTGCTGGCCGGCAGGGGTGCAGCTGTGGGGCCCCAAGGGGAGCCTCACCACTGCGCCCAGAGGAGGTGCGTGGGCCAGCGGAGGCCTAGCCTTCAGTACCTCCAAGACCACTCAGATTGAAGACTCCCTGGGTTGGGGTGGGGAGAGTGAGTGTCTGCTTAAAACCAGGACCTGAAATTTTGTACTGGGGGGGTTGTTTTGATCTTTCTGTGAGGGAACTGGACAGCTAGTCCTCAGTGGTCATGGCTGCCCCGAGGTTACTGACTGTTTGTGGACAGTGAGAATGAGATCCTGTTAGGATAGGAGCCCTGATCCAAAAGTCTGGGAGAGAAACACAGGTGAGAGGGAAGCAGCAGGACCAAAGATGTAAAGCAGTCTTTTTGACAAGGGAATAGAAAAGGAAAGGAAGATCTCTGGACTGGGGATTTCGTGAGGATGTTGAAGGGGACCAGGGAGGTAGGAGCGGCCAAGAGACACTCCTGTCACAGGGTCGGAGGCTGCTCACACCTCTGCCTCGCCCGCTGCTGGCAGCCAGACCGAAGAAGCCCTTCCTGAGTGCTCTCCGTTAGTACCAGGGTGTGCCGAGCCGAGGGCCACTGTCCTTCCTCCAGGTGCCGCCCCTGCTTTGCGGCAGCCCGTGTCCGGGTGGAGGCCAGGCTCGCTCCAGGCCACTGCACTGGTCTCCAGGCCCCACCTTCTCCGGCCACTCACCCTCTTTGTCCCTTAGGTGGCTTTCCGTGCCCATTCATTTGCCCTCTTACACCACGTGCCTCTGCAGACACGTCACCCAGTCCTCCAGCTGGCTTGCACTTGTTTTGAGAGACAGATCAGAAGGATTTGCCAGAACTCAGTTCTGTCTGGGCTGCTCCCTGGTGCTGCGGTGCTGCTCTGGCCCCTTCCCTGTCCTCCGGGGCAGAGCCGCTCCTGGGTTCCCGAATCTCACCTTACCCAGTCCCCCTTAACTCTACTTCCCTCCCTCCCACAACACCTGTCACGGGCGCTCTGATAGACTTTATTTGTCATGCTGGCTGCTTGCTGTCTGCATCCCCTGCTCGGTCAGCTCTGATGAGAGCAGACATCTGTGCCCCTTGTTTTCACGGCTGTACCCCAGGCTTCTAGAGCAGTGCTTGGCCTGTAGCAAGCGCTTAATTCATATTTGTGAATGAGTGAAAGGAAGGCAGGACTTAATGCAGACTGTCACGAGGCATTCGGCTCACAAAAAGGGAATAACCGCATCTCACAAGAACCCCTCCCCACCCACCTGTCCCCATCCCTCACACAGCAGGCCCGGCCTCCTCGCCGCCCAGCCAGGCCCGTCTCCAGGCCCATGCAGCCCACAGGCTGTACCATCTCCTGCTCCAGGCGGCGGCCTCCCTCGCATGCTGTCTCAGAGGCCGGTCAGCGCTGGGGCAGTCGGGCTGTCGGGGACTGTCCGTGAGCTCATGAGAGATCTGTGTGACTTCCATCTAGTTGGTTCCACTAATGTCATGGGACGTCCTCTGCTATGTTGTCGAGTGGGGCTCACCACCAAAATATAAAAAGTTCAGCCAGGAAAGAGGAAATAGAAAGCAATTTCCTGTTTTGTAAAGGACATGGTCCCAAAATTGTAGTCAGTGCTTCCTTTTACATCCCATTGGCTGGAGCTTAGTCTCATGACCAGACCTGGATACAGGGGAATCTGGGAAATGTAGTTTTTTGCTGGGTCCTGTTATTGAAAGGGAGAAGGGGAGCATGGATCCTGGAATCAGCCAAATGAAAGCATATGGCTTGTCATTCCACTCCCTGTGCATGGAACAACGCTGAAACTCCCTGCTATTCCCCTTCAGCTCTTCATGACCTGCCCTGCCTCCTTTGCCACACCCTTTCCCGCCTTCCCCTTCTTCCCTGGCCAGCACTTTCTCCTTCAAATCTCAGCACAAATGTCTTCAGCTCACAGAAGTTGGCCCTGTTGTCTGCACCCCTCCCTCAGTACCCTGGACCTGCCGCTGTCATTTGTTTCTTTGTTGTTTTATCCAGTGTTCCCACTAGGCCTCAGCTGCATAGAGTCTCTGATACGGTGTTGGTGCAGGTGAATGAAATCTGATGCACATTGTTCCTTGTGCATAGAGACGGCACCGTGTCCCTGTCTCTGATACGGTGTTGGTGCAGGTGAATGAAGTCTGGTGCACATTGGTCCGTGTGCATAGAGACGGCACCGTGTCCCCGTCTCTGATACGGTGTTGGTGCCGGTGAATGAAGTCTGGTGCACATTGGTCTGTGTGCACAGAGATGGCACCGTGTCCCTGACTCTGATATGGTGTTGGTGCAGGTGAATGAAGTTGATGCACATTGGTCCTTGTGCATAGAGACAGCACCGTGTCCCCGTCTCTGATATGGTGTTGGTGCAGGTGAATGAAGTCTGGTGCACATTGGTCCGTGTGCATAGAGACGGCACCGTGTCCCTGTCTCTGATACGGTGTTGGTGCTGGTGAATGAAGTCTGGTGCACATTGGTCCGTGTGCATAGAGACGGCACCGTGTCCCCGTCTCTGATACGGTGTTGGTGCAGGTGAATGAAATCTGATGTACATTGGTCTGTGTGCACAGAGATGGCACCGTGTCCCTGACTCTGATATGGTGTTGGTGCAGGTGAATGAAGTTGATGCACATTGGTCCTTGTGCATAGAGACAGCACCGTGTCCCCGTCTCTGATATGGTGTTGGTGCAGGTGAATGAAGTTGATGCACATTGGTCCTTGTGCATAGAGACAGCACCGTGTCCCCGTCTCTGATATGGTGTTGGTGCCGGTGAATGAAGTCTGGTGCACATTGGTCCGTGTGCATAGAGACGGCACCGTGTCCCTGTCTCTGATATGGTGTTGGTGCAGGTGAATGAAGTCTGGTGCACATTGGTCCGTGTGCATAGAGACGGCACCGTGTCCCTGTCTCTGATATGGTGTTGGTGCAGGTGAATGAAGTCTGATTCACATTGACCCTTGTGGTTTCTTCCCTTCTAGGACACCAGGGACTTCCTGAACAGGTAAAAGAACTTCCTCTCTGGAGTGTGCCCCCCTCATTCCTCTGTGCCTGTGTGCCCTCCCCTTTTCCTTGCGCAAGGTCCACTTGAATGAATGGTGAGTGGAACAGTACAAAGGTGCCCACAGTGCGTGGTTCCTCCTGGGAAGCAAGATCATGTCCCGAACTGGAGCCCTGCTGTCTGTGGAGCACCACCTCCGTGGCCTGCTCTCCTTGTCTGAGCCGGGACAGAGGAGGCTGGGAGGGGCTGGGGGAAGGGCTGTGCTCTGGAGGGCGATCCGCTTCTGGTTGAAGTTCACTCAGCAGTGTCTGTGGCCTATCTCTGTGTGGCGGGAATGATCACACTTTTCCCTCCCCTCGTATTTGTATGAGGATTGAGAGATGCAGGAACAGCTAAGGTTGTGTCTGCATCTTCTCAGGTTTCCGCGGAGGAAGTTCTGGCTTGGGAAACCCATTGCTCGGGTGGTTAAGAAAAGGAGCGGAGAATTCTCAGAGAAGCTTCTATGTCTGCAGAGAGGCCTGAGGGAATTCCAGGGTAAGCCCTGGGGAGGCCGTGGGTGGGAGCAGGAGCTGGGCGGGCACTGAGAGAGAGCGCTGGCTCCTTACCACCTGTCCTCCTGCTCGGGGCTCTGAGGGCCTGCGTCTGAGTGGGAAGCCAGCCTGTGAATTTGCTGGGCCATTGCTGTCCTTTCTTTTCCCCAGGGAAGCTGCGGAGAGACTTGGAATATAAGACAGGTGAGTGTCCGATGAGCTGTTCCCAGGTTCTCCTCAAATAAAGAACACTTCCCACAGAGACTGTGGCTGCTGGTACCGGGCAGTCCCTTCTGTTACGCCACAGGGAGAATTTCCCAGCTACAAAGCTAAAGGCCCACTTCCGTTTCCGACCACTGCACTGCCCTTCGCTGCAGTAGAGGTTCCTCTTCTGCCCGTTGGGTTATTCCAGCCTCACTGGTCCTGCAGTCAGCCCCTTCCCTGCACCTCGGCACTGCATAGCCCCAGGGCCCTGTGCACAAGGGCCGCTCTGCGAATGGCCGCAGACTGCGGCGTGGCGGCCCTGCACGGACACTGGGGACTGCTGGCCCTCCTGGCCCACTGTTACCTGTTCTTTTGTTCTCACAGTGAGTGTCACCCTGGACCCACAGTCGGCCAGTGGGTACCTGCAGCTGTCAGAAGACTGGAAATGCGTGACCTACAACAGTGACCTGTACCACGGTGCTTACCTGCACCCCCAGCAGTTTGACTGTGAACCAGGGGTGCTAGGCAGTAAGGGTTTCACCTGGGGCAAGGTGTACTGGGAAGTGGAGGTGGAGAGGGAGGGCTGGTCTGAGGATGAAGAGGATGGGGACGAGGAGGAGGAGGTGGAGGAGGAGGAGGAGGAGGAGGAGGCTGGCTATGGAGATGAACACGAAGATGACTGGTTCGGAACAGATGAGGATGAGGAGTCGCTGGGGGACGAAGAGGAAGAAGAGGAGGAGGAGGAGGAAGAGGAGGAAGTCCTGGGAAGCTGCATGGTGGGGGTGGCCAGAGACTCTCTGAGGAGGAAAGGAGAGCTCTCCATGCGGCCAGATGATGGGGTGTGGGCGCTGCGCCTCTCCTCCTCCGGCGTCTGGGCCAACACCCACCCCGAGGCGGAGCTCTTCCCCGCAGTGCGGCCTCGGAGAGTGGGCATCGCCCTGGACTACGAAGGCGGCACTGTGACTTTCACCAACGCGGAGTCGCAAGAACTCATCTACACCTTCACTGCCACCTTCACCCGGCGTCTGGTCCCCTTCCTGTGGCTCAAGTGGCCTGGGACACGCCTCTGGCTGAGACCGTGAGCGCCTGCCCCTCCGCACTGGCCCTGCCACCCCATGTCTCTTCTCTGGAATCCGAGCACTGGGGGGAGGAGGTGCCTGGCCGTAGCACCTGAGCAAGGGGGAGGAGGGACCCCACAGTGCTGCTGGTCCCCTCCCTGGGACTGTGGCCCCCATGGCCTCGTTCAGGGCTGCTGCTCCCTCCACACTGCTGTGGCCGGCTCCTCTGCTGTAGCCTGGGGTCCTGCGCAGACTTCCAGCCTGCAGTCCACGCGGGCTGCTCCCTCCACACTGCTGTGGCCGGCTCCTCTCCTATAGCCTGGGGTCCTGCGCAGACTTCCAGCCTGCAGTCCACGCGGGCTGCTCCCTCCACACTGCTGTGGTCAGCTCCTCTCCTGCAGCCTGGGGTCCTGCGCAGACTTCCAGCCTGCAGTCCACGCGGGCTGCTCCCTCCACACTGCTGTGGCCGGCTCCTCTCCTGCAGCCTGGGGTCCTGCGCAGACTTCCAGCCTGCAGTCCACGCGGGCTGCTCCCTCCCTCCTGCCCACTGCCTTCCACCCAGCCCTGCACTCCGCTGAGTGAGAGGCCAGGCAGCGTTTTCCGGCCCATGTAGCCTCCCACACCATATGTCCTTGGGAAAGATCAGTGGACTGTCCCACCCCAGCCATTTTGCTGTCCCCAAATCCCATGGCCTCCCCCTCACCCAGATCCACCTGCTATCTTGCCTGGCACTTTATTTTTTTTTATCCTCACCGTAGGACATTTTTTCTTTCTTTGTTCAGATAGAGCGGGAGGGAGAGACAGGAAGAGAGAGAGAGAGAAACATCGACGTGAAGGGACACATTGAGTGGTCACCAACCGCATGACCAACCAGGGTCGGGGACAGATTGCAACCGAGGAACATGCCCTTAGCGGGAACCGAACCTGGGTCTCTCCGGACCACAGGCTGATGCTCTAACCACTGAGCAAAACCGGCTAGGGCTTGCCTGGCACTTTAAAAAGCTGCCCCGGCCCTGACTGGTCTGGTTCAGCGGTCATAGGCTGGCCTGGCTCAGTGTGTCACCGGTTTGATTCCGGTCACAAACTTAGGTTGCGATTTGTCCCCACCCTGGTCAGGGTTGTGCCGGAGGCAACCAGTCGATGTTTCTTTCTCTGTTTCCCTCCCTCCCACCCTATCTGAAAAGAAAAAGAAACAATAACAAAACAAATAAACAAAAAGCTGCCCCAGCCCGGCTCGTGTGGTTCAGTGGTTGAGCATTGACCCATGCACTAAGAGGTCGCTGGTTCGATTCCTGGTCAGGACACATGCCCAGGTTGTAAGCCTGATCCCCAGTGTGGGGCATGCAGGAGGCAGCCAATAGGTGTTCTCTCATTGATTTTTTTTTTTTTTTTTTATCCTCACCTGAGGACATTTTTCCATTTTTTGTTCAGATAGAGTGGGAGGGAGAGAGAGAGAGAGAGAGAGAAACATCAATGTGAAAGGGACACATCGAGTGGTTGCCACCCGCACAACCCAACCAGGGCCGGAGACAAACTGCAACTAAGGTACGTGCCCTTAGTGGGAACCGAACCAGAGTCTCTCCAGACCACAGGCCGACGCTCTAACCACTTAGCAAAACTGGCCAGGTCATGAAGAGAGTTTTTAAAAGAACCCAGAATGTCTTGCTCTTGTTGGTCCATATAAAGACACAGCGAATGTCCAGGCAGGAAAAGCCCCCCTCTGTGGGAGTTGTGACTGGTGGGTGCTCAGCTCCTGACACTGCCCTTGCACTTCCTGGGACAGGCTGGGGAGGGTGAGGCAGGCTGTGGGGCACGCGTCCACTGCCCTTCGCGCAGTGAGAGGAATTAAAGCGAATCTGCTCCCTTCTGCCCAGGCTGGCCCGAGTCCGTAGTGCCCACTGGGTAACAGACTCCCTGCTCCAGCCGAGTCCCCGTGCAGCCATGTCCTTATGTTGCAGGCCCCTGCCGTCCTCAGTGTGTGAAGGCCGCTCCAGCAAAGGGCTCCCAGTGCTCCCTTGGCCCAGCCTGCCCCACGCTGCCTGGGTCGCGCACAGGTGTCTGCCTCTCTGAGCTCGGAGGGCGGGTACCATGTCTTATGTTTCTCTTGTATTCTCCATGGCACCTAGTGCAATGCTTGGCGCAGAGATGCTCAATAAAATCTTGTTGAATGGACAGCCTGCATTTACATATATTTCATTATAACTCGGATGTCACCAGGCCGTCTCTGTGACTGCAAAGGTTCCACTGATACCAGCAGCCCAGGGCTTTCCTTCGGGGTTGCCCAGAACACTGCAGCTCTGCTTTCTGTCCTCTGCACTCACTTTGCAAATATGCCTGTAGTTGCTGGGAGTCCCCACAGGGCCCCCGGGACCCAGGCCACCCAGCGCCAGGGCCAGGCTTGTGCAGGTGACGGCTCTCGGGGGAAGCGAGTCGTGGACCACAGCATCCCCCAGTCCTTCCGTGGACAGTGGGCAGTGACTTGAAGGAAAGATGACCTAGCGACTCCAACTGTCTGACTGTTTTTTACCTCTGATTTTTTTTTCCGTTGCCATGTTAAAGATGGAAAACGGGATATACAACATACATCTGAGATTCTCCACAAAGGCCACACTTCCTCCTGGGACTCTCATTTGTGACTCATGTTTTACCTTTTTAATTATTGTTTCTTTTCTAAATACATATTTGCAAAGTGTGTCCATTTTTAGAAATAAGACATGCATTATCAATTACAAGGCCTGTTAATCTACCTTTGAATCTTGATAGACAATAATTACTAGCATATTCCTGAATATTTAAATTTATTTTGATTGGTATGGATTGCTCCCTAAAATTATACTTTACCAATCTTTTATTTATGGACTAATTTATAATTCTCAAAATGCCTTTTATCCTTTCTTGGAAATAATTTTTTTGTATAATGAGATTTCTGAAACTTTAAGGTATTCATTGTATAATTAATAGCTGATAATTATTAAATAAGGAATGTTTCCATTTGAACAAAGTATGAATGTTTTCAGGTCATTTTTGCTTTAATGAGTTTTATGAGCATCATACTTCCAAAATAAACTGGAGAAAATAGGTTTCAACATAAAAGACCCTTGCAAAATAATAAAAGTATTTTCTGTACTAGTGTACCACCTTAGTATAGAAATTTGCTAGTAAAATTTATTCAATAAATTATTTTGAAACTTTACTTTATATTCACATTTTCAAAGTTGTGTTGTTGTTTTTTTAATGAATTACAGCTGCAGATATGGTCGCACATATCGACAATGCTGCTGTTAAAACTGGTCTCCCGTCCCGTTTCTCTCCCCAGAAGCCCAGGTTACCCTTGTGGCAGACTGTGTTGATGTTTATCTTCATTTATTTCCAGTTAATATGAGTTTGGGTCATTATTCTCTGCTTCCCCACTGTGAAGGAGGAAGATGAGCTCCGTTCCTGTCTCCACCCGCCCCTTCAGTCTGAGTCCTAACATCACATGAGGACTTCGTAGGTTCATCATGTCTGTCAAAACTACACCCGGACAACTTTATCTTCCCTGGAGTCAGTGATGCCTGTCCCTTCTTTCTCTTTGTTTCCTTCACACATAACCAGCTGTCCAGTCTCAAGTGTGCAGTCCTCAGGTGCTCTGAGCATTGTCCCCTGAGCACTGCCTCCTGACGGGTCTGCACAGCTTCTCAGGTCTCGCTTCACCTTCAGGTCTGGAATGTTGGGTTGATCTATTTCTTTATCCCATGTTTTCCCTCTTCTTTTAAAAATTATTTTTATTTATTTATTTTATTGTTGACACTATTTCGCATGTTCCCCATTTTCCCTCCTTTGCTCACCTCTACCTCCGGCCCTCCTTTGCCCTCCCCATACTATTGTCTGTGTCCATGGGCCATGCATATATGTTGTTTAGCAAATCCCTTCACCATCCTTTCTCCTGTCCCCACGAGCCTCCCCTCTGACATTTGTCAGTCTCTTCTATGTACTTATGCCTATGGTTCTATTTTATCAGTTTATTTATTCATTAGTGAGATCTTATGGTATTTGTCTTTTTCTGATTGGCTTATTTCACTTAGCATAATAATCTCCAGGTCCATCCATGCTGTTGCAAAGGTTAAGAGAGCCGTCTTTTTCACAGCTGCATAGTATTCCATTGTGCAAATGTACCATGGCTTTTTTATCCACTCATCTATTGATGGACACTTGGGCTGTTTCCAGATCTTGGCTATTGTAAATAACACTGCTTTGAATATAGGGGTTTACAGTTTCTTTCTGATTGCTGTTTTGGGATTCTCGGGATATATACCCAAAAGTGGGATCACTGGGTCAAATGGCAGTTCCATTTTTTTTAAATCCTCACCCGAGGATATTTTTCTTTTTTATTTTTTCTTTTTCTTTTTCTTTTATTTTTTATTTTTTATCCTCACCCGAGGACATTTTTCCATTTTTTGTTCAGGTAGAGTGGGAGGGAGAGAGAGGAACAGAGAGAGAGAGAAACATTGATGCGAAAGGAACACATCGAGTGGCTGCCACCCGCACGACCAACCAGGGCCGGGGACAAACTGCAACTGAGGTACGTGCCCTTAGCGGGAACCAAACCCGGGTCTCTCCAGACCGCAGGCCGACGCTCTAACCGCTGAGCCAAACCGGCCAGGGCGCCGAGGATATTTTTCAACTTATCTTCAGATAGAGTGGAAGAGGGGGTGGGGGAGGGGAGAGAGAGAGAGAGAAAGAGAGAGAAACATCAATGTGAGAGAGACACATCGATTGGTTGCCTCCTGCATGACCCTGACCAGAGCTGGGGACCAAACTGCAACCAAGGTATGTGCTCTTGACCAGAATCGAACCCATGACTCTTTGGTGCATGGGCTGACACACTAACTGCTGAGTCAAACCAGCTAGGGTGGCAGTTCCATTAAAAAATTTTTTTCTTTATTGATTTTATTTTTTATTAAAAATTTTTTTCTTTATTGATTTTTAGAGAGAAAGGAAGGCAGAGAGTGAGAGATAGAAACATCGATGAGAGAGAACATTGATTGGCTGCCTCCTGCATGCCCTACACTGGGGATTTGGCCCACAACCTGGGCATGTGCTCTGACTGGGAATCAAACCGGTGACCTCTTGGTGCATGGGTCGATGCTCATCCACTGAACCATACCGGCCAGGTGGCAGTTCCATTTTTAATTTTTTGAAGAAGCTCTGTACTATTTTTCACAGTGGCTGCACCAGCCTGCGTTCCCAACAGGATACCTAGGGTTCCCTTTTTCCCGTGTCCTTGCCAGCACTTGTTTATTGATTTATTGATAACAGCCATTCTGACAGATATGAGGTGATACCTAATTGTAATTTTTATTTGCATCTCTCTGATGATTAGTGACCTTGAGTATTTTCTCATATGTCAATTGACCATCTGTGTGTCCTCTTTGGAGAAGTCCTTTGCCCATCTTTTAATTGGATTGTTTGTCTTCTTGGTGTTGAATTGTATATGTATTTTTAATATATTTTGGAGATTAACCTCTTATCAGATGAATCATTGGCGAATATGTTCTCCCATACAGTGGGTTCCCTCTTTCTTTTGTTGATGGTTTCTTTGGCTGCGCAGAAGCTTTTTAGTTTGATGTAGTCCCATTCGTTTATCTTTTCCTGAGTTTCCCTTTCCCTTGGAGGCATATTTGCAAAAATATTGCTATGAGAGGTGTCTGAGATTTTACTGTCTCTGTTTTCTTCTAGTATTTTTTGGGTTTGTGACTTACATTTAAGTTTGACTTTTTCTTGTGTATGGTGTAAGTTGGTGGTCTAGTTGCATTTTTTTTGCATGTACCT